GAAGTGTAGTTGACTTCAACACCTAGAAAGAATGACAAAAGACCCAAATCTTTGAGTGAAAACTCACGATTTAGAATAGAAATGACCTCAGCAACTTCTGTAGGATTACTACCAGTAATCAGTATGTCGTCAACATATACTAGAAGAAAGATTGTCGAAGCGGAGGAGAACTTGCAGAATAAAGAATTATCTACACGAGAGAAAGAGAACCCAAGATGCTCAAGAGAATACTTAAGTTTGTCAAATCACGCTCGCGGGGCTTGTTTAAGCCTATAAAGAGCTTTGTGAAGCTTGCAAACAAGAGGACCCCGACTTGAAAATTGTTCATAGCCCGGTGGTTGTTCCATATATATCGTTTATTGGAGAATACCATTAAGAAACGCATTGTTGACGTCTAACTGCATGAGCGACCAACCACAAGCCAATGCAATAGTAAGCACAATTCTTATAGTAACCGGTTTTACAACTGGGCTGAAAGTCTCTGAAAAATCAAAACCAACAGCTTGTGAAAAGCCCTTTGCAACTAAACGAGCCTTGTATCGAGCAACCAAGCCATTACAATTTTTCTTTATCTTATACGCCCACCGACAGCCCACAACATTTCTATCCATAGGCCTGTCCACCAAAGTCCATGTCCCATTATTCTGGAGAGCTTGATATTCAGCATCCATAGCAGAACGCCAATTGTCACAATTTAAAGCTTCTTGAACAGTAGCTGGTTCACTAGAGGAAAGGTCAGTAGCAATGTAAGCTTTGGGCTTGAAAACCCCCATCTTAGCACGAGTAATCATAGGATGATCATTGGTAGGAAAAATAGGTTGATGGATACTGTCAGCATGTTGAATTCGAGAGTGTATAACAGACTTTTGAGTGGGAGAACAGGGGGATGGACTGAGAACTAGACCGGGAAGATATGGAAGTGTTTAGAGACTCTAGAACAGGCATTGAAGAGAAAGAAGGTTGTGATGATGGACTAGATTGAGAAGGTTGTGGGGAGGAAGTGGGAGAAGTAAAAATAGATTGTGGGAATTCAGACAAAGACTCGGATTGTGTCTGTGTAGGTGAGAAGATGACAGAATTTGGACAAACTATGGAAGATTTAGGTTGAGAGACATGTTGTTCAAAGGGAAAGGACATTTCATCAAATACGACATGCCTCGAGACATAGAGCCTACCATCTGGACTAAGACATTTGTAGCCTTTATGTTGATTACTATAACCTAAAAAGGTGCAAGGAGTTTACCTGAATTCCACTTTATGTGTATTATAAGGTCTCAAAAAAGGGTAACAAGTGCAACCAAAGATTCGAAGTGAGGAATAATCCGGTTTTACCTTGAACAGCTTTTCTAGAGGGCTTGCTCCATGAAGGACTTTAGTTGGCAACCTGTTAATGAGAAAAGTGGCTGAGGAGTATGCATCATCCCAAAATTTAAGAGGTAAAGAGGCTTGTGCTAACAAAGCTAAACCGCTCTCAATAATGTGTTTGTGTTTTCGTTCAACTATACCATTTTGTTGAGATGTGTGAGGACATGCGACTTTGTGATCGATACCATGGAGCTGAAAGAATGATTTAAGAGGTCTAAACTCCCCC